GGCGGTGAGGACGCGGGGCGGTGGGGACGCAGGGATGCGGGGAGGGGGGGACGCAGGGAGGTGGGGACACGGGGCACCCCCTGAATCTCTCGCCCGCAGACCAGGACAGGGGCACCCTCAAGCTGACCAACCTCTCCCTGGCCATGTCGGGTCTCTACGTCTGCGTGGCCAGAAACCGAGTGGGTTCGGCCGAGTGCAGCATCGTCCTGGAGGTGCACTCAAGTGAGTACGTGTCCGCAGGGCCGGGGGGGGGGACATGGTCCCCGCGAGGTCCCCGTGGGAATAAGGAGGGAGGCGAACCCCTCCCGCCGCCGCCGCCTCTCTGTCTCTTTCCCGCAGCTAGCAGCACGGCCGTCATCGCCGGCGCCGTGCTGGGCTCCCTGGGTGCCCTCGCCACCATCGTCGTCTTCGCCCGGCGGGTCGTCGGCTACCGGAGGAAGAAACGTGACGGCCAGGAGGAGGCAGCCAATGAGATCAAGTGAGGCGCCCCTCCCGTGGAGGAGGTTCAAACCGGTCATCGCTAGGTTTCAGAGTTAACAGGAGGGGGAAGGAGGTTTCCCTCTGTGGGGAGTCATCATTCGGTTTCATAGTTAACAGGGAGGAGGGGCTTTCCACCCCTGCCCAGTCATCGCTAGGTTTCAGAGTTAACAGGGTGGGAGAAGAGGTCCGTCCCTTGCCAGCCATCATTAGGTTTCAGAGTTAACGGGGGGGGGGCATTTTTTTCCACCTCTTTTTCCCCCCCTTTCCCTCTTGCCCCCCTCTTTTGGGGTCCAGGAGCTCTGCGCAACCTCAGGGTGGGGGGGGGATGCCGGGGAGGGGAACGGCGGGCTTTCCCGGTGCCGATCTCTCCGACACCGTCCCCTCTCGGCAGGGAAGACGCCGTGGCCCCCAAAACCCCTTCGTGGGCGAGGAGCCCTTCCCGGTGCCGATCTCTCCGACACCGTCCCCTCTCGGCAGGGAAGACGCCGTGGCCCCCAAACCCCCTTCGTGGGCGAGGAGCCCCGCTTCGGACACCATCTCCAAAACCAGCACCTTATCCTCCATCGCCGGCGCCCGGGAGAAATCCTACGGGACCAGACCCCCCTCCGACACCGCCTCCATCCTCACCGGCAGCTCCCCGGCCCCCCCCCCCCGGGGGGGGGGGGGGCGCCCA